TTTTCAACTTACAAAATATGTCTACTCGCTGCAAAATATGTGCTTGACATCTCAGAGACTCAAAAATACTTATTTGGACATGCACAGACTTTGCAATCTATTACAGTGAAAATTAATTACAAAAAATGTGAAATGTGTATTGGATAAGACGAGTGTTTATATACTGGATATGCATGGCCCACAAATAAATAAATAAAAAGAATTGTTTTTGTATTTTTTTTTGTAACCAAATCTGGTCTGCTCTTATAATATGGTAAATGCAGCCTATTTTACTAAACTGTTAGAGGAACAGAATTTCAGCTTGAAAGCTCAAAGCCATACAATGTTTCAAATAACAAACACATAAATAAATTAAAGCCAAAACAAAAACAACACAGTGCCTAACACCCAGTAGTGATCGTCTCTCTCATGTTTGAACAGAGTTGCATCACTGGGGACCGGGATGAAAAAAAAAAAAAAAAAAAAAAAAAAAAGCACCAAGCTAGGGATGAGAAGCAACCATTTGAAATGTACAACTAAAAAACTCAAAATGTTCTTCAGAAGAAAACTGTTACATAAATAATTGCAGCGGAGTGAAGTAGTTTTAAAGAGGATGTTATGCCCGTTTGCTTGAACCATTTTTCTTTGGCAGAAGCGAGGAGAGCTTCCTTTTCTGTCCACTGACGTCAGAAGCAGCAAGAAGCCAAGGGAACGTGCGTAGATAGCCGTTTATTCAGGAGAAATGAATTATCATCTTATTTCATCATTCCATATTTGCAAAGAGATCAGATAGGCACAATAAACACGAGAAGAGTGAATCTCACAGAAACATGCTTGAGTCGAATTTCACCATGATTATTTTGGGAAAGGCTCATTTTCATTTCATTTTTTTTTTTTGTTTGCAATCCTATTTTTGATAAATAACCACATTTATCCACCAAATTTAGTTTTATTTATTTTTGCATTATACTGTACCTGCTAAACAATTGTGTGGGTACAGTTCATTTAAATAAATATATGTATATATATATATATATATATATATATATATTACTTAATTTATTTTTATGAACTGCCTGTGAAATATGATCAGAAACATTCTTGACCAGTTCACTGATTTACACAGAATTGTCTGTGGCGCAATGTATTTACTGAGTAGAGAACGAATTAAGGGCATAAAATAAACATAACTGGGAAAGAGTGTAGGAAAGAGAGGGCTGAGTGATTTTCGATGACAGCATGCGTACAGATGGCAGGCGGTGAAGAATTGAAAAGCATGTGAGGGGAGGTGGTGGGGTAGTCCTGTAATGCGAGCAATGCCATGGGGAAATGGGTTAAGAGGTTAGAGACGCAGGCTCCAGTGAGTATTTCTGCTTCCTCACCTCATGTACACTGCCTAAAAATACAGCCTACAATGAGCACAGCCATTACTCCTGTCAGCAGCTGGGAGCAGCCCAGTCATGGCCTACATTCAGCTTGCACATTCCAAACCCAGTTATGAAGCATACTGATCATTCATTAATCCAAGAAAAGGCATATACTAATTATTACGCAGAGCAAGGATGGATATATGGCATCACATTTGTCCTTGCCAGCTTCCACAGTTTCAATCAATCACATGCTTTAGCTGTTAGCTTAGCTGAAACACACAAACAGCATCAGGTTACAGACTTTGTCATCCTGCACACGCTAACACTCGTGCATGGCTAACAATTTTGATTAGCTGAGTTATTCCTATCAATGACTTGAAAATCCCTGAAGGTCAAACATATGTGGCGTTGTTTCAGTAGCTTTGTTCTAAATGCTAGTGAGCTTGCTAAAAGTATTTTTAGGCAATCCTAATCTAAGTATGTTCTAAGCAATGAGTGTCAAAATTATTTTGCCTTTGCTTAAATAAAAGGACAATCACATGTAGCCTATCCTTTGGCAATCCCAGTCGCACTACATTAAAGTAGCACACAAATATTGGGTGAATTAGTCCAATATTAAAGCTATATTATAAAGATTATTTTGTTCATCTAATCATGTATTATTTACTTGCAAGAATGTAGCCCCTAAACTCAGTAATCAGTATAGTCTCGAGCTGGCGCGAGCTGCCCGCCCTGGCTATGCAAGGATGCTTGAGCGTCTTAAGCACCCTCAAAAGAAAGCAATGCAGTCTACATTGGATGCAGCGAGGGGCGAAGCTGCACAACAGATTGCCAACAGTAAACTGATCGCTCGCGCTCTGTTTCTGACGCACTTCATTACAACATACAGAGGAAAAAAAATGCTTGTTGGGCTCTCACGTCGGAATTTGAGGAAGTGGGAGTGGTGATGTACGCCATAAAGCAGTCGATTTTTGTAGCTCTTTTTGTGCTTGGGTTCCTCCCCGCTCCCCGAAGTTACAGAGTGCCAGTAAAAGCGATACAGACCACGTCAGGCTATGGCAGACCTGTCATTCAACCTACTGTAAGTCGATATACCATCTCAAGGGTTTGGAAAAATATTATAAAGGTTGAAAAAACGACATAGTGCTTCTTTAAATAGTCCAATATGTAATTGTTGTAAATTGAGTTGTTAGCTTAGCAACATAGTAATATAATATTAATCAAGCCTCTTTTCATCTACTGTAGGTAGCTTCCTACAGTATGTGGACAGCAGCTCGCTATGTTTTGAAGCATGAGCCGTCGTTATCTGTTTTCACCAGAGCATGTGAACTTAGCCACAGGTTTTAGCCTTGACCTTAGCTTTCTTTCAAGCATAATCCTGTCTGATAGAAACATAAAGGGTTGAAGGAGGTTTTTTAGAGCAGATTCGGGTGCACTGTGGGAATTTCAGGATGTGAGGAAAGATCAGGTTGAAGAGCAGATGCAAAGGTCACTGCTGCCCAACATATAAACACTGTTTTTAAAAAAAAAAAAATAAATAAATAAATAAATAAATTAAAGGTCCACTATGTAACTTCTTTTTTTTTTTTTGGTTCAAAACTCAAATTAGAATAATCAATCAATACACCATCAATACTTCTTCCTAAATGTGTTTTGCTCTACCCTCATTCACTATTTTAAGTTCTTTTATTTTTGACCTGACGGAATGGTTTTCGCCTGTGCGTCTCATCATATCCGTAAAAACAGTAAAAGTTGCTTTGGCTACTTTAACATATCTTCTTCCAAAACATATTTTTGTCTAGTTCATATTTATCTTTACAGTCACGCAGAGCTGAAGCACAACCAAAACAATGTTCTTCCACAAATTCCATGTAGTTTCGTTTTTTTTTAACCGCTAGAGGGCCAACACATGCACCTTTAAGAATTATTAGAATACTGAGCCATAAATGTCACGTGACTCTACCTCAACCCTTTGTTTAGCACAGGTTTGATCTAACTTGTGACAATGACTAACTCGGGTTATTTTTCAACCCACAACCATGGTTATTGTGATGGGAACAGTTAAAAAGGAGCACTTATATGAGGTCTGTTAGCACACAGAGGCAACAGAAAGGATGAGGGTGTGTTAAAAGAAGCACAGACATCTCGAAATGGGGTATTGAGCAAGGACATGCCTGTCCTTAAACAGGTGGCTCTCAGTGTGATGCTCTCCAGCCCACACCATACACGACTCATGACTCACTGATCCCATATTAAAACTGTTCCTGCTGGTCCACATGTCCATTTGTACAGCCTCTCAAGACATGCGGTGCATGTGAGCCTATGCAGCAACGCCTGGTATTTTACAACTTAGCCCACACGGTTAGTCACATTCAAAAGCCAAACTGTTATCAATGAGTATTTTCTAATAAGTTACGGTCACTCACAAGACCATGTGGCTATGCTTACAAATGGATGAGGCATCAGCGGTATGCGTGTGTGAGCAGAGCTGGAAGGATAAAGTTTAATTACAATTATAATTAAGAGGACTATTGATACTGATATCATGGTGGCAGGTGGCAAGGCAGAATTACAAGCCTGTGCCCTACTTAATAATAGGGTGGGCTGGCACACAGATGGACTGGCATTCTGTCAGGTACCTTCTCTATTACGCCACCAGAACAGTGACTGATTTGTGCAGCATAAATCCACTCAGGCATTAAAAGTCCACCAATTAGCGCAGATCCATTAACATGAGCAATGATGAGTTGGAGAGGATTCAGGCTGATGGCTCCACAAAAAGGCTGCACTTCAAATGTCACTTTAAAAAAAAAGATCCCAAACGTGACTTTCCAAGCAAGACTGCATTGCCAGAAATGCTTGGAGATAAACTTGAAAATCAGTTTCCAAGACCCAATTAGAAGTAGTACTATTCAGATGAGATTTGTTTTAAACAATGTTTTAGTCAGTTTTTAATTAGAATTAGTTTTTAATTATATACAAATTTTGGCTGACTTCGATAAGCTGATAATTTTGATCTAAAATTTTGTTTACAGAAACTAACACAATTTTGTCTAAAGTTCAAAAACACTAAAATGACACAAATGACACACACAACAGAAGTACCACACGAAAAACAAATATTCCTTTGCAGATTTGCTTTAGATTTAACAGCATTATTAAATCGTGTTTTTAAACATTAACATCAACATTACCAACCAGTTTACGCAGAAAGCGGGGAAAAAAAGGTTCTAAACCCGATGACAATACCATAACTACAACTATCTTGCTGAGCTGACTGACAGCTTTAGTTATGGTTTATAATGAAAGGTCAAAATAAATGAGAAGTTGTGTGGGGAAAAAAATATATAACAATATTTCACAAATCCCAGACATTGCAATTTGATTTCTCAGAGGACCCCCGAGTTATCTTAAAAACAGTAGGTAATTTCTTCTGTAATTTGTACCAAGGTTGTTAAAGAAAATCACAGATGTGTTTGATTCAGACGAGACTAAAATCACAAGTACATCTGCGAAACCCGCATTTACCTGCGGGAAAACCTGTCCTGTCTGAGTGCAAGAATCGCTTATGAATGCAAAAACAGTGCTGTTTGAACTGAAGCATACTATATTATAAATGAGTGTAAAGTGAGAGTTCGGAGGAGGGCTCACCGGTGAGGTTGGTACGGGCGCTGTAGGAGCCCAGGTAGCGGCTGTCTGTGTTTGGGGTGTAGCACTCGTACATGCCCTGGTCGGCGGCCTGCAGCTTGGTGATGTGCAGCACGACAGAGTCTCCGCTCAGCCTCTCGATGTAGATCTCCTTGGTGTTGACACGCTGGGAATACAAGGCGTAGGCGTAGCTGTGCTGGGATGTGCTCACGATACGGATCTCTCGATCGGGAGCGGTGTAAAGGTACATGGACCACTCAAAGTCTTGCTCCACTCCTTCCTTGTAGCCGGTCACATTACACCATATGGTGATGTGAGATCCTTCCGTTCGAATCAGGGGTCCTGGCTGAACTGTGACCTGCCGCTGGGCTGAGTAAGAGCCCACTGTAAGACAGACAGAACGAGGGGTCAGTAGTGGTCAAATATGAAAATATAAATATCTTCTCAATATTTTTATATTTGATCTGAAATTACTTAAAATGTGTTTTTTGCCATCAGGTAAACCTTAATTTTAACCAAACAGCTGTTAATGAAAATAGTAAGAACTAAACCAGTCAAAATATATTTCAGAAAATGTTTGTTACAATCTTGATAAGAAGTCCCAACACAGTCTCATGAAGATGCGTATCTATACCACGAGTGTCATTTCTCGTGGCATTTATACGCCAAAAGTGTTTTTTCGTTTATATGGTACGCACTAAAAAACCCTGGGTTAGGTTTAGGGGGGAGGGGGGTGGGGAGTTCGTGCGTATTATACGCAAAAAAGTGCGTATCATATGTACGCGAAAATCGCGTGCCAAATACACGCAAAAACTGTTTTTGGCGTATAAATGCCACGAGAAATGACATTCGTGCCATAGACACGAACTTTCATGAGATCGGGCTGGAAGTCCCGCTTTTGAGTGCTTGTAATGTGTGTGTGTGTGTGTGTGTGTGTGTGTGTGTGTGTGTGTGTGTGTGTGTGTGTGTGTGTGTGTGTGTGTGTGTGTGTGTGTGTGTGTGTGTATGTGTGTGTGTGTGTGTGTGACCATCGACTCTTCAAGAAATCAAGTGGCCTTTAGCCAAGAGACCCATTACACACAGCCACTCAAAAGAATTACACTGAACTACAGACCCTTCAAGAAACACACACTGTATGTCTGCTGAGATAAAAAAAAAAAAACTCACACTGTAAATGCTACAGTTAAGATACAAATAAAGGGCAAAGCACGAGCAGCCCATAATGAGTTTATATAAAGAGTGTATACATACAGTATATATATATATATATATATATATATATATATATATATATATATAGCTGTACAGAAAACACAAGGGATAAAAAGCAAGACTAAGCAAGAGATGTGCCCAAACAGACCTGAGATTTTTCCATTGACAGCCCTGATCTGTCTTTAATTAATGCAGATAGGCCTATCAAATAACACTTCTGCTAATAACACTCTACTGTTTAGTAGGTTTGTGTGGATAGGTAAGCGAAAGTAAATATGCTGTCAAGTTGGACGGATTTTGAAACGAAAGATCGTCCTTGAGAGCAGATAAAGAAATAAGTAGACTGAATACTGAAACTGAAGATTATCATCTTATTTATGACAAAATAACTATCCTCCTTTGGAAGCAAGCAATACACAGGACCAAAGACAAACGACTTAAAAAGAAAAAGTTTTAACAGCATTCTGGTGCAGATGAGTGAACGGTAGCAAAACGTGAATAGCAGATGCGGAATACATTCTAGAAAAGGTAATGTGGTCATTTTTATGCAATTTAATGGGTTTCATGTGTGAAAGTGGCAATTATTCATCTGTGTGTGTGTGTGTGTGTGTGTGTGTGTGTGTTGGTGGAGTTGTTATTTTCCTGCTAAATTATGCTTATAATATTAAATATTTGGTGAATGTATTTGGAATATATTTTGCACATTTGCTCCTGATGATTTTTTGTATATGTAATTCATTTACAGTTCAATGACTATAATTATTATTAACCATATTAATTAACATCATACAGTTGTTTATTTTTCCCTAATACTGCTTTATCAGAATTATTAGGGAATTATTAACTATTTTGTTGATTAATTGTAATCTACATTGTAGAGAATGTAACCTACTCTATATGTAAATATTCTTTCAGAAAACAGAAACAATACAACATGTTAAACATTATATGGAATTTTACTGTACATATTTATTTTATTAATTTTCTTTCTTCTGGGAATCTTAGCTGTTTAGTTAATGTTGTATTATTTTAGTGTTGTGTTATCCTGATGTTTTTTTTTTTTTTCCACAGAACACAAAAGTGGCATTACTTCCTTTGCTTTTCAGAAGTTTTACAGCATCTGCATCTCTTAGACAATGACAACACCTCTCTGAGAATAATGAATGTGCTGTAGAGAGTGAAAGATGGTGACTGATATGTTAACGGCATCCTAGTTTGACAAAAACATAGGATAAAGGAAGACAAGCGTGAACAGTTGGAGTTGAGGGAACAGCGAGAAAGTCATTCCTCGGATGTCATTGTCCAATCTGTAACAGAAAAAAAAAAAAAAAAAAGGACAGCCCATCTGCTAGCCCATCCCATCTGGTATGGGTCTGTGACAATGAGTGAGCGTGCGTGGCTGAACGTTCCCCATGCCTCAAAAGAGATGTCAGTGATTTAATTACTTCTAAATATGCACATGCATCTGCATCTCTCGGCCATCCCGTAGTGAACTGAAAGTGGCTTTTAGCACTTTCTTTATCCGTTTCCTTCCCTCCCGTAACCCTTGAACGCCCAAACACACCTGTGCTTTACTAATACACTCCAAAAAAAAAAAAAAAAAAAACACACAAAAGAAACCGCATCCTAGTGGTCTGTCAGTACAAACAGGTTTATAATAGCTCCAGACAAGAGGGTTAGCTTGACTGTGTTGCACTATTGCACAACCATGCACATGGGAATATACACTTGCTATGATGATCTGATGTTTGTCATGCCCGGCATTTCTCTCACTCCATGACATCTGGCTCTTTGTGAGTACAATGTTACACTCTACCAACCTTGCTCCCCATAAACAACTTCATGTGCAACAGATTGTTCACTATTTCATCTGAGATATAGCTCAACTATAGTGTCAAACTATAGTCTCACAGAGACAGGCATGAGTTCTAGACCACAGTGTGGTACAGTATATTGCAAGACAAGAACCGCCCACATAGATGGGTAGGAGCCGTCTGATGACATGTAAAGCAACTAATTATAACTTATCTACAAATGGGGGAGACAAGAAAACCTCTCCAATATTTAAATTAGCAACATTATGTATAAAATGTACCTTATGTACATGTTATGTATGCATGTGCATGTTATGTATGCATGTACTTGTTGTGTAATGTTATATGTAATGTTATGTTATAGGTTAGCCTATATGTAGAACAGGCATAAGCAAAAACTTCATAACAAAGCTAAATTTATATGGTTGTGCTTGAAAATATAAATTCCTCAATTCAAATCAAACTCCTCAACACCTTTTAAAGATTTGCACTACTGTTCTACCATTTAGAATAATAAATGAATAGTTGTTAAGCAATTATACATTAACTGTATAAAAAGTAATAGTAAATATATTTAAAATGTTACAAATCTATTTCAAATAAATGCTGTTCTTTTGAATTTTCAACTCAAAAAACCATGGTTTACACGTTGAAACATTAGCCTAAGCAGCACAACTGTTTTCAACATCCATAATAATCAAAAGTGTTTCTTGATCACCAAATCAGCATATTAGAATAATTTCTGAATGATCATGTGACACTAAAGACTTGAGCAATGATCCTGAAAATGCAGCTCTTCACAGGAATTCACAGGAATACATAACATAGTAAAAAATATTCAAATAAAAAAAGTTGTAAAATGTAATCAGTTTTTATTTACTCCATTTGTATGCACTGTATATAATCATCTTAGAGACCCTAAACTTTTAATTTACAGCAGAAGTATATTATCCTGATTCTTTTGTTTTTATATTGTCGGAATTACAGTATACAAAACTATGCAATTCAGCCTTCATAAACTAGATTACAACCAACCAACCACTGGCAAGATTACTCTTTTGGGGGGGGGAAATAAGAAATTCAGTGAACTGTCTGTATTCTGCAACTTTAGGTCTGATCCCAGGGTCAAACTGACCCTCTTTCCATTCTCTTGTTTACATTCACACAGACCATTAAAGATTCACCCTTTTTGGCACTCCATATCTGTGTCACTCTCACTTTTAATATTCTCGTTTCAACCTTCTACCTTATTGAGTATGTGGCCGCTGGTCTGCCTGCCTGCTAAAGTTTTGCTTCGCTATGCCAAAGTCCTTAGAGCTACTGTTCATGCTACTCAATAAGTCAGAGACTCAAAGACTGGCTAGGAGACAGTTCCCCCTGAAACAAGACTTTACCTGTCAGCACAATGCATTGCAAGACTTCTGGTTGTTACACAGTTCACCAAGCACTCAGAGCTTGAGTTTGCTCATACATCTGTCAGAGGGATTTAGGGAGTCTCAAACTCTACACAGAATAATTTATGTACACTAATAAACAATGCAGTCTCATCGTTTCAAAAAACGAACGATAACTATATTAGCATTCCACACCAATGCACAATATCATTCTGTTAATTATAAACGAACGCTGCAGTCCTCTCGTCTGTTAGGGACTCGAGCTCGAAACAGGATGGCAATGTTTTTATCGTATTTCAGCTGGAACAAAATTGTTCTGGGTGTGATTCCAAAGGTATGACAGTGAGTGGACTGCACTATTCTTTTATATTTAGAATGATTTTTAGATCTATATCTTTATAGTTATCGTCCTTGATGTGAACAGGTCTTTACAGTATGTGGTAACGAAATGTAATCAAACAGGGTTTAGATTTGTTGAGCACCAGGGTCCACGCCTGGAGTGACAGGCCAGCATTTAAGTCCTGTCATTCAACGAGTTGAAGCGACAGCCTGCTAGACCATGAATCATCAGTCTGATTTCTGCAGAATGAAGATTTCATATGACATTAAAACCAGAGATATTTCGGAGATATTTAACTGGAACATTCATGTCAGGCCCATTCGCCTTTTTGAGCTCTGATGAAAGCAGCATTTTCATGTGGGTCACATAAGACTTCCCCAGAATAACCAGCTCTGGCCTGCCATCAACTCTGCAGCATTAAATATGGATCACATACAAAGCACTATGCTTTACTAACAACATGTGCTCTTTCTCCTTTGGAGGAGGAAGAGAGGGGCATAAATGAGTTTTGTAACCGTTTCAAATGCAGTATATTTTAATACCAGTTTGGAGTACTTTATTGCAGTACACCTCAGGAACGTTTCCTCCTCTGAATGCCAAGTAAAACATTTCTTAAAAGTTTCA